GTGCGCTGTTGCTGCTTTTGCTGCGGGTGCTGCTGCTGCGTGTTGCTTCTGCTTGCTTTGCGGGTGCTTGTTGTTGGCGTCGCTTCAACCACTGCTGCTGCTACTGCTGCTGCTGCTGCTGTTGCTGCTGCTGCTGCTGCTGCTGGAGCTGTCTAGGAGAGCGTGCGAGCCTGCTGCTGTCGAGTGTTGCATGTGTCTGCTGCTGCTGCTGCTGCTGCTGGTCCTTGCCGTTGCTGGAAGCCTGCCCATTTTGCTGCTGCGGTTGCGGCGGTCCACCGCCTGCTCATGCTGCTGCTGCTGCTGCTGCTGCTGCTGCTGTTTGCTGCAGATATATTTGCATGTGGCCGTGCAAAACGGCAAAGAAGCAGCGGAGACGTGGCTGCGCCGCTTTCTAGAGGGGCAAGAGACCTTGCCTGCTGAGTTGCTGCGGAGGCTCCAGCAGCAGCAGCAGCAGCAGCAGCAGCAGCAGCAGCAACTCGCTGGTGCGTCCTTGCACCCCAGGCTGCAGCAGCAGCAGCAGCAGCAGCGCGTCCGATCTGGTGCTGTTGGCGTCGTCAACACGTAATCTGGCTCAGCCGCTGCAGTAGCAGCGGCAGCAGCAGCAGCTGCAGCAGCCGCAGTGGCTGGAGCAGCAGCAGTGGCTGCTGCAGCAGCCGCTGCTGCTGCCTCTGCAGCAGCAGCTGCCCGAAATGTATTTCTTTGGTGAGAAGCTTTCCTATGGAATAGCGGGGCCTCCCAAACACCCCCCTCCGTCCTAATGCAATTTGGTGTACTTGTGGCTGCTGCCGCTGCAGCAGCTGCTGCTGCTGCAGCAGCACGTGGTGCCGCAGCGCGAGCAGCAGCAGCAGCAGCAGCAGCAGCTGGGATTGGCCTTGCTTGTGATTTACGGCATGCATTGTGCACAGTGTGGTGTCATCCGCCCCTTGTTTAAAACAGTCAAGTCAGCGACGCCGGCAGCAGGCGCAGCAGCAGCAGCAAGCGCAGCAGCAGCAGCAGCAGCAGCAGCAGAGGCAATGCCAGTGGCAGCAGCAGGAGCCGCTGTATCTGTTGTTCGAGCACTTGGGACCTGCTGGGGTTCCGTGTGCTGCCTCCTCTGCAGCGCTGCTGCATGCCTCTGCTGCTGCAGCAGCCGCAGCAGCAGCAGCAGCAGCAGCAGCAGCAGCAGCAGCAGCCGACGCCTTGGGGTGTCTGGCGAGACAGGGATTGCGGCGTTTCTGAGCGTCCAGTTGACAGTGTGGCTCCGAACTGAATGAAATGAATTAGAGGAGATTTAGAGCAATTTGCAGCTTCAAAACAAATAAAATGATTAATTTAATCATTTAAATGCATTTAAACAATTAAAAATAGTTAATTTAATTGTTTTAATCCATTTTAACTGTCAAAAATAAACCAAATAGGGCTGCTGTAGCCAAACCAGAAACGCTGAACCCGCAAACTCATGCAGCAGCAGCAGCAGCAGCAGCAGCAGCAGCAGCACGAGAGAGCCCTGCAGCAGCAGCACGGGAGAACTCCGCAGCAGCAGCAGCACGAGAGAGCCCCGCAGCAGCAGCAAAAAGCGAAAGCTAAATTAGATTCTAATTTGTTAGCTTTTAAGCCCTAAAGAAGGAAGCAAAATGGATGCTGCTGCTGCTGCTGCCGCTGCTGCTGCCGCTGCTGCTGCTGCTGCAGCAGTGCAGCAGAAGACGCAGCACGGCGAGTGAAAGAAGTAAAATTGTGAATTTTGTAAATGGAAATAAATTTAAAATAAAATAATAAAATTAAATAAGTTTAAATGTCAAATATAAGTGGAAAGACTAGGGCAGCAGCAAAAGAAACGAAAATAAATAATTTGAACTTCGGGAGCTGCAGCACGGCGCTGCTGCTGCTGCTGGGAGGCGCAGCAGCAGCAAGATGCTCAGCTGCTTCCACCGCAGCAGCAGCAGCGGCTGCTGCTGGGAGTCACAGCAACAGCAAGACGCCCAGCTGCTTCCACCGCAGCAGCAGCAGCGGCTGCTGCTGCGAGGCGCAGCAGCAGCAAGATGCCCAGCTGCTGCCAATGCAGCAGCAGCAGCAGCAGCTGCTGCTGCTGCTGCAGCAGCTGCTGCTGCTGCTGGCATTTAGCACTTGCAGGCGATTTTACGCCTAATGTCGACGCAGCCGCTGACACGCTGGGCGGGTCTAGGGCCTGCAGCAGCAGCAGCAGGTGCTGCTGCTGCTGCTGCTGCTGCTGCTTCTGCTGCTGTTGCTGCTGCAGCTTGCAGCGGCCTCACAGTGTAGAAGCTGCGGCTGGGCGCCAGCCGCCACACCTGGTGGCCTGCGGTGTAAGCTCTTGTTGCTGCTGCTGCTGCTGCTGCTGCTGCTGCTGCACTAAAGGGGGCCCCTGAGGCCCTCCGGCGCAGGGGTTTATCAGAAAAAAAGCAGCACCTATTTTCTCTGCAGCAGCTGCTGCAGTCCTTGCTGCTGCTGCTGCTGCTGCTGCTGCTCACTGGCTTGAGGCTGCTGTGCAGCAGCAGGGGCGAAA